GACAGACCCCTTCTTTCCCACGGTTCCCCAAATTTGGTCAGACCCCTTCTTTCTCACAGTTCCCCAAATTTTGGTCAGACCCCTTCTTTCCCACAGTTCCCCAAATTTTGGTCAGACCCCTTCTTCACCAGTTTCCCAGAATTTTGGTCAAATCCCTTCTTTCCCACAGTTCCCAAAATTTTGGTCAAACCCCTTCTTTCCCACAGTTCCCAAAATTTTGGTCAGACCCCTTCTTCCCCACAGTTCCCGAAATTTGGACAGACCCCTTCTTTCCCACGGTTCCCCAAATTTGGTCAGACCCCTTCTTTCCCACAGTTCCCCAAATTTTGGTCAGACCCCTTCTTTCCCACAGTTCCCCAAATTTTGGTCAGACCCCTTTTTTTCTCAAATTTTGGTCAGACCCCTTCTTTCCCACAGTTCCCCAAATTTTGGTCAGACCTCTTTTTCGCCACAGTTCCCCAAATTCTAGTCAGACCCCTTCTTTCCCAATTTCCTAAATTTTGGTCAGACCCCTTCTTCCCCACAGTCCCCTAAATTTTGGTCAGACTCCCTTCATCCCCAAATTTTGGTGCCTTCTTTACCAATTACCCATCTATCAGACCCTTCTTCCCCACAGTTCCCCAAATTTTTTGGTCAGACCCATTCTTTACCCCACAGTTCCCCAAATTTTGGCCAGAGTCACCCCTTCTTCCCCTTTTGTTCAGACACCTTCTTTGCTACATTTCCCCATATTTTGGTCGCCCCTTCTTCCCCACAGTTCCCCAAATTCTGGTCAGACCCCTTCTTTCCCAATTTCCTAAATTTTGGTTAGGACCCCTTCTTCCCCTAATTTGGTCATACACCTTCTCTTTGCCACAGAAATTTTGGTCAGACCCCTTCTTTCCCACAGTTCCCCAAATTTTGGTCAGACCTCTTTTTGCCACAGTTCCCCAAATTCTGATCAGACCCCCTTCTTTCCCAATTTCCTAAATTTTGGTCAGACCCCTTCTTCCCCAGTTTCCTAAATTTTGGTCAGACTCCCTTCTTCCCCACATTCCCTAAATTTTGGTCAGACCCCTTCTTCCCCAAATTTTGGTCAGACCCCTTCTTTCCCACAGTTCCCCCAAATTTTGGTCAGACCTCTTTTTCGCCACAGTTCCCCAAATTCTGGTCAGACCCCTTCTTCCCACAGTTTCCTAAATTTTGGTCAGACTCCCTTCATCCCCACAGTTCCCCAAATTTTGGTCAGACCCCTTCTTCCCCAAATTTTGGTCAGACCCCTTCTTCCCCACAGTTCCCCAAATTTTGGTCAGACCCCTTCTTCCCCACTATTACTCAGTATATTAGATTTCTTACAAGTCCGACAGCTTCACAGATGGCAGTAATTGCCATGGACACCAATGGGTAGGACCTTGCATCTCCATGGATGTAGACAACCCATAGAGCCTTGGTTATGTGTCCCACCTCACAAGCCATGGCATCTTGCACCTGGGCTCCAATGCTCCCCAAGTCCAGGAGAGAGCTGACTAGTGCCTGGCTGATACCACAGTGATTTCAAAGGTTCCACTGCCAGAAGGGGGTTGTGGAGTACAGGCTACTTGAGCAAAAAGAGAACACCTATGGAGACTCCCACAATGCATCATCTTCTCCTACAACCCCAACATTGTATGGATCCCTATCTTCTAGAGCATGGAGGCTTGTGGATGCTCCCACTAGGGGACAGGGGATATTTCATCCTCAGATTCCTTCGGGCTGATCCCAGGGCTTTTTTTTACATTTTCCCCCAAAGATAAAAGTTCCCCGACATGTGGAAGTGAGCTTGGGGGCTGCTCACTGTGTGTCCTCCTACCAGTTGGCCTGCAGTTCTTGGGTCTTCATGACACACCCGCTTTTGCAGGTCGACTGGTGGAGACCGAAGATACCAGTCCATCATGGCCCTCTCCACCATTCAGTCCTATTAGGTCTCAGGTTGCAGCTAGTTACTAACCGGATCCGATCGTGCATATGCGACCGTGGTTGCTGATCTAATTGGTAGTTCCACTCTCTGTGCTCAAACAGCTGTTGTCACCCCTAGGCAGGTTAGAACCCCATGTTTCAGGTGGCTTCCTCAGGAGGGAGGTAATAATATGCCTTTTGTGGGTCTCCTGCCAGGAAAGGAGCAATGAGGTTGGCCTGTTTGTCTTAGGCCAAGTCTTCTCATTCTGCTGTCAAAGGCAGTCTAGTCTATAGCTGTAGTGCTCGATTCATGTCAGATGTCTGGGCCCACTTACCACATCCCAGCCACAGGTCACGTTACTGCATCTCCAACACAGCCACAATGGTGAGGTATTGGCTGGAACCCACTCTTAGCAACCAAGGTAAACCACAGGGTTAAGGAGAATCGAGAAGAAAATTCACCATGAGGCATCAATATCAGCATATAGTCCCACTACAACCCCCGCAGATCAGGAGGACCAGTGAACACTACTTGTGACTGTTGAGCATCAGTCCTAATCTTGGGGCAGTGGCTTCCAGGCCAGGGAAGTAGCAGAGGTTCAGAATTGTCCACAAATGTCCACCATCTGATAAGGAACGCTTCAACTTCTGCTCATGGTGAAGGCTTTGAAAGTTTATTTAGAAGAGAAAAGTTACAAAGTCAAAGATTAGAAAGCAGAGAACGTGGAGCCCTTCAGAGACAAAATATACCAAGGTCATGACCTCTCGGCCAACACGGGAGGCCTTTAGGCTTTAATCTTGGACATTGGCCGTGTGGAACCTGACAAACATTTTCCATGATGAATCTTTTAGATAAGAATTTGCACTTTAATTACTAGAGAAAATCAGTCTGATCTTTGAACACCCTCATCTGCTCCATCGTGACCCAAACTCTTCCATACCTGCCTGCAGAACATGGAGACCGACTTGTCTCTCCATACTGCCCAACCAGACAGTCCGAGGATCCGGGGAACAAAAAGTCTGTTCTAAGAGCTTTCACAAGGAAACCTCACAAAGAACTGAACATTAGCATACAAGCACTTAATATTGACATTTCATCATTAGAAAGTACTTATGAGGACATACGTACTGTACTACTGACCTCCGAACACTACTGACCTCCAAACACTACTGACCTCCGAACATTACTGCCCTCCGAACACTACTGACCTCCGAATACTACTGACCTCCGAACACTACTGCCCTCCAAATACTACTGACCTCTGAATCGCATACTATGGCCTCTGAACTCTCCTTCACTTACTGCTGACCCCTGAACTCTGCCTCACTTACCACTGACCCCTCAACTCTGCCTCACTTACCACTTACCCCTGAACTCTGCATCACATACCGCTGACCCCCGAACTCAGCCTCACTGCTGACCCCTGAACTCTGCTTCACATACTACTGACCCCCGAACTCTGCCTCACTTACCACTAACCCCTGCACTCTACATCACATACCGCTGACCCCTGAACTCTGCATCACTTACCACTAACCCCTGCACTCTACATCACATACCGCTGACCCCTGAACTCTGCATCACTTACCACTAACCCCTGCACTCTACATCACTTACCACTGACCCCTGCATCACTTACCACTGACCCCTGAACTCTGCATCACTTACCACTGACCCCTGAACTCTACATCACTTACCACTGACCCCTGCATCACTTACCAGTGACCCCTGAACTCTGCCTTGCTAATGACCCCTTCTAATGATCACTTACCACTGAACCCTGCATCACTTACCAGTGACCCCCGAACTCTGTCTTACTAATGACCCCTGAACTCTGCATCACTTACCGCTGACCCCCGAACTCTGCATCACTTACCACTGACCCCTGAACTCTGCATCACTTACCACTGACCCCTGAACTCTGCATCACTTACCACTGACCCCCGAACTCTGCATCACTTACCACTGACCCCTGCATCACTTACTACTGACCCCTGAACTCTGCATCACTTACCACTGACCCCCGAACTCTGCATCGCTTACCGCTGCTGACCCACGAAATCTGCCTCACTACTGACCCCTGAACGCTGCCTCACTTACTACTGACCACTGAACTTCTTAAAACATTTTTGATAATGTTCTAATTACAATGTTGTGGTTTCCTTTAATAATGATGTCACATTTCACGTGTCAGAGATGTACTGGATGGATCTTGAGCTGGAAATGTATAGATCTGTGGTGGGGGCCAGCTGGGCTTCAACGGCACGGTCAAAGCAGCACTTAAAACAGGAAGCAGGACCATGTTTGAAGGTCTCAGCCAATTTAGGGAGTGACTTTCTCATTGAATAGTGACTCCTCCTTGGCTGGAGCCCCAGTCTCAGAGCTGCCCAGAGTGCTTTGGTGACAGAGGAGATGGGGAACCATCTTAAAATAGGAGATGCAGGCTAGAGGGGTTTACCTGGAACCTCAAGCTCCAGTGACACAGCTATAGTCAGCAGAAGCTGAGGAGATCTTGGCAGCAGGCCACTCAACTACTACCCAGCCTCTGGTACCAATAACACATTAATAACTCTGCCTCGGTACCAGAGGCTGGGTAGTAGTTGAGTGGCCTGCTGCCAAGATCTCCTCAGCCAACATCTCCTTGCCAGATCCTGATGTAGCCATAGTCAGGAGAAGCTAAGGAGATCTTGGCTGAGGAGATCTTGGCAGCAGGCCACTCAACTACTACCCAGCCTCTGGTACCGAGGCAAAGTTATTAATGTGTTATTGGTACCAGAGGCTGGGTAGTAGTTGAGTGACCTGCTGCCAAGTCTCCACAGCCAAGATCTCCTTAGCTTCTCCTGACTATGGCTACATCAGGATCTGGCAAGGAAGGAAACACTTGGGGGAATGAAGGTCGGTCATTGTATGAGGCAAACATAATACGTATAAACAAGAGAAGGAAAAAAACTTTAGTTGAGTCGATGTTCCTTGTCCAAAAGTATCTCAAAAAGCAAAATATTCAAAGACTTTCTAGGCGCGTGCCTGATGGATATAAAACGCTGAAGTCAATGCATCCATTTCTTTCTGGTTCGCTTACAGATTTTTAGATACTTTGTCTCAAAGTATCATGATTTCCTTTCACTTTTCCGTGAGCTTGGGGAATGACATGGGGTGTGAAACTGCTGAGACACCCCAAACCCTTTAAGAGTAGTTTATCTTCCACCCCGTTAACACTCTCCTTTCTCTCAGTTTCCTCAGAGATTGTGACTCCTCTGGTGTCAAGACTTGATTGCAGTTTGAAAGCTCTATCACACTCTTCGCTGTGGCCCCTCTGGTGTACGATAAGCTGGGTCTGGGTCGTAAAGATTTTGTCACATTCAAAACAGCGACAGGGCTTCTCTCCGGTGTGGACCCTCTGGTGCGTGGTAAGCTGGGACTTGGCTGCAAAGGTTTTGTCACATTCAGCACACCGATAGGGCTTCTCTCCGGTGTGGACCCTCTGGTGTATGGTAAGCTGGGACTTGGTTGTAAAGGTTTTGTCACATTCAGAACACCGATAGGGCTTCTCTCCGGTGTGGCCCCTCTGGTGTATGGTAAGCTGGGACTTGGTTGTAAAGGTTTTGTCACATTCAGAACACCGATAGGGCTTCTCTCCAGTGTGGACCTTCTGGTGTATGGTAAGCTGGGACTTCACTGTAAAAGCTTTACCACATTCAGAACATGAATACGGCTTCTCTCCGGTGTGAATCCTCTGGTGTGCGGTAAGACAAGGCTTCAATGTAAAAGCTTTGTCACATTTGGGGCACTGAAATGGTCTCTCTCCGGTGTGAATCCGCTGATGTAGGAGAAAATTTCGCTTCGTTTTAAAAGCTTTGTCACACTGAGAACACAGATACGGCTTCTCTCCGGTGTGGATTATCTTGTGTTTGACAAGTCTGTCCTTCAGTGTGAAAGCTTTGTCACATTCGGAGCACTGATAGAGCTTCTTCCCAATGTGAGCCGCCTGGTGTCTGGTGAGATCTGACTTCTGTTTAAAAGCTTTGCCACATTCAGAGCACTGATACGGCTTCTCGCCGGTGTGGACCCTCTCATGGATGGTAAGATCTCTCTTCACCCTAAAAGTTTTGTCACATTCAGAACATGGAAACGGCTTCACTCCAGTGTGCTCGGTTTGGTGTATGATAAGATATGGCTTCTGGGTAAAAGCTTTATCACATTCCGAACACTGATATGGCTTCTCTCCAGTGTGAATCCTCTGGTGTGTGATAAGATCTGACTTCCATGTAAAAGCTTTATCACATTCAGAACACTGATATGGCTTCTCTCCGGTGTGAATCCTCTGGTGTCTGATAAGATGTGGCTTCTGTGTAAAAGCTTTATCACATTCCGAACACTGATATGGCTTCTCTCCAGTGTGAACCCTCTGGTGTGTGATAAGATGTGACTTCCCTGTAAAAGCTTTATCACATTCGGAACATGGATAGGGTTTCTCTCCCGTGTAGATCCTCTGGTGCTTGTTAAGCTCTGACTTCACTCTAAAAGCTTTATCACATTCAGAACACTGATACAGATTCTCTCCAACATCAACCTTCTGGTGTCCGGTGAGCTCTGCTTCCATTGTAGAACCTTTGTCACAATCAAGACAGGATAGGTCTCTCCAGTGTGCCGTATCTTGGGTATGTATGGGTCTGACTTTACTGTAAAGCCATTGTCACTTCCAGGAATGACTTCTCTCCTGTTGTTTTTCTGATACTCTTCAACATTGATCCAGCCTTGAAGGACAAGTTTGACATTTAGAACAAGGATATGACTTGTGTCCAGTGATCTGTAGTAAAGTCCCTCAGAACACCCAGACGAGTAGTGTCCAATGTGACTGGGTTGTGTTTATGAGGACCAACATCCGGTGATCTGTAGTAAAGTCCCTCGGAACACCCAGACGACTCGTGTCCAATGTGACTCGGTTGTGTTTATGAAGACCAACATCCAGTGATCTGTAGTAAAGTCCCTCAGAACACCCAGATGAGTGGTGTCCAATATGACTGGGTTGTGTTTATGAGGACCAACATCCGGTGATCTGTAGTAAAGTCTCTCGGGACACCCAGACGACTCGTGTCCAATGTGACTGGGGTTGTGTTTATGAGGACCAACACCCGGTGATCTGATCTGTAGTAAAGTCTCTCAGAACACCCAGACGACTCGTGTCCAATGTGACTCGGTTGTGTTTATGAGGACCAACATCCGGTGATCTGTAGTAAAGTCTCTCAGAACACCCAGACGACTCGTGTCCAATGTGACTCGGTTGTGTTTATGAAGACCAACATCCAGTGATCTGTAGTAAAGCCTTTCAGAACACCCAGACGACTCGTGTCCAATGTGACTCGGTTGTGCTTATGAAGACCAACAATCACCCGTCAATCCACCTGCACAGAGATATAAAAAAAAATACAGAATTAAATAAACGCTTCTCATGATTTAACTTTCCTTATTGAATATATTTTGTACGTAGAAAGACTATGTCCTATACGGGTCTAAAATGTCGTATCTTATAGAGGACACCAACACAATTACATCACAATTTTCTGCGGGAGAATCTCATTCTTTGCTCTCATTCAGATCATCGTGTTGTATTTCTAGCACAGGGCAGGAGAAATCAGAAGCACCGTGTTTTAGCCCCGTGGTATTGGCATTGCCAGGATTTGGTATGGTCGCTCTTTGTTGTAAAACACATGTGTTCCCTGGCTCAGGATGAAGTGAGAACCCAACGCCATTAAAAGTGGTAAACCCTAAAATTGACAGCGGCTTACCTTAATACTTACCTCGTAGGCTACGTCTTTTTCATCTGCTTTAAAATCTTGCCAGTTCTCAGTTTTGGGGTGGCTGTGTTGCTTTCCCGGGTCCTAGAGCGTCACCCTTACATGCGTGCTCCCAGAAGAGAGAGACTTCAAGCTGATGCTAAGACACTGCCCCCACCACAGACTGACAGGGTATGTATGTACAGATGCAATGGTGGTGATTAAATTATGGAAAATGTAGTCCCAAGGAGGGGCAACAGGGTGACGTTCTCTGAAGTGTGCACTCCCCCACCAGAAGTTCTGGAAAACGGTGCACAGATCCCCGAGAAGAAAAAAACATGAAGGGTTTCTGGACATTGCCTAAAGAAAGGACATGATCAGTTTGGAGGACCAGTGGGTTATGATTGGGTAATTGATCCAGCTTGCCTTCAGTTTTTTTTTCTTATGTCCATAAGTAATGGATGGATTTCTCCTTTTGTTGAGCGATTGTTTCCTTTTGTACTGAAGTTGATCTTCCAGCAAGTATTTCTGGTGTCCTGCCGATTGCCTTGAAGGCTCTTTTCACAGCAGCATTTATCCAGATCAGTTCCATCTCGGCCTCACAGCACTTTGAGGGACTGCACCCTGACCTCGCAGGTTGGTGAAGGCCTATAATGCTGCTAGCTGGTACTGAACCATGGGAAGCATTCACACTGGCACACCACTAAAGCAACATGAGAAGGTTTGTGGGGTGCTGTAGAAGTCCAGGACCATGGCCCATTGGAGTCCAAATTCGAAATACCCCTGCAGTCCAGACCAGGACTACAGGTAAAAACTGAAGTGGACATGCAGCTCTGCGGCAGAAGACTGCTATAGAAAGTGCCGCTGCTTCTAAGTCCCTGTGTGCTTTGCTCTCGACTTTGAGCAGTCGGTGGCAGCTGGGGACCTTTGAGGGCATTCCCCTTCTCTTTATACTTGTGCGGGTCCACCTTTGGAACCTACTGCACATGGAGGCATAGTCTTAAAAGACTTAGTAAACTACAAGAGATCGGCCACATAGGACACCACTGGAGAAGCTCTCTCCAAATACAGTACAGGAGGTTCTTCAACTTTTGGGAGCGAAGGACTCCAGGTGGTGGGACACTAAGGCCTTCCCTCCAATATACACCAGGTCTTGGGTGGTGGGACACCAAGGCCTTCCCTCCAATATACACCAGGTCTTGGGTGGTGGGACGCCGAGGCCTTCCCTCCAATATACACCAGGTCTTGGGTGGTGGGACGCCGAGGCCTTCCCTCCAATTTACACCGGGTCTTGGGTGGTGGGACGCCGAGGCCTTCCCTCCAATATAACACCGGGTCTTGGAGTGGGTGGTGGGACGCCGAGGCCTTCCCTCCAATATACACCGGGTCTTGGGTGGTGGGACGCCGAGGCCTTCCCTCCAATATACACCAGGTCTTGGGTGGTGGGACGCCAAGGCTTCCCTCCAATATACACCAGGTCTTGGGTGGTGGGACGCCAAGGCCTTCCCTCCAATATACACCAGGTCTTGGGTGGTGGGACGCCAAGGCCTTCCCTCCAATATACACCAGGTCTTGGGTGGTGGGACGCCAAGGCCTTCCCTCCAATATACACCAGGTCTTGGGTGGTGGGACGCCAAGGCCTTCCCTCCAATATACACCAGGTCTTGGGTGGTGGGACGCCAAGGCCTTCCCTCCAATATACACCAGGTCTTGGGTGGTGGGACACCAAGGCCTTCCCTCCAATATACACCAGGTCTTGGGTGGTGGGACACCAAGGCCTTCCCTCCAATATACACCAGGTCTTGGGTGGTGGGACACCAAGGCCTTCCCTCCAATATACACCAGGTCTTGGGTGGTGGGACACCAAGGCCTTCCCTCCAATATACACCAGGTCTTGGTCATAAGAACCATTGGTAAACACTTTAGCCAAGCATATAGAGTACCTAATACACAGGTTTGGTGGGGGGGGGAGGGGGGGGTGGTAGACTTGGCCAACTTTCAGCTTTCTTAGGGCAAAAAAGGAGGCAATGGCGCTTCCTTCTATGAGCTCTGCCAGCAATGGTCCTCTGGCTCTAATACAGAGTCATCGTAAGCAATAAACAGGGGGAATGGAGGCCCTTTATGGGCAAAACACCGATTTGAATGATTTTTTTTTATCTCCTCAAAGCTTTGGGTTCTGAACAAAAACCAGACACCCCTTCAGGAAAATGATCTGGACCCCCAGATCCTCCAAGAGGGATACCCTACTTCTTTAACTGGGGAGACAATTGTTGGCCCTTGAGGATCAAGATGTCCCAGACATGTGGGTCCAGCCCATTGTGTAGAGAGGCTACAAGCTGGTATTTTGCACCTCTTTCTCCATCCTTCATGCCATCCAATGTACCTTCTGCCCCCAGCAGAAAGCAGCCTTGTTTGCTGTGCTGGAGCTACTGTCCCATCAAGGGGTTAACACTCCTGTTCCAGAGCATGAGAGGTTACAGGACTGTTTCAACCTGTTCACTTTTCCAAAAACAAATAGAAAAGTGTAGAGGCCCACCCAGGACCTCAGAGTTCTCAGTACTAGCTTTTCTCAAGCTCAGGGGATTACAATTTTGGGATATCCAGTTGACCCACTTCTGTGGGAGCAATCGGTGGACAAGCTGTGAGTCAATGTGCAGACTGTGCAGAGCTATGAATTGATCCAGAACTTTCAAGAGCCAGCATTGGATCCTGGTTTTCCTTCCCCAGGTAAAGCTTATGACCATTCAGTTCAAACATCTGTGATCCATGACTCCATGAAAGTGGTTCCCTTTGAGGTAGTCCTCTATGCCCATTTATACTCCAGGCTATTGAAACTCAATATTCTGACTGTGTGGTACAAACAAGTTTGGGCCCTGGATTTAAACATGCAGCTGACCAGCAGAACCAGGATGGCTCTGTGGTGGAGGTCCAGTCTGGTGCTGGAATCAGGGAAGCCCTTTCGCCTGATTGTCTAGAACAGGGGTGGGCAACTGTGGCCCTCCAGCTGTTGTAGAACCACAAGTCCCATCATACCTCTGCCTTTGGGAGTCATGCTTGTAACTGTCAGTTTTGCAATGCCTCATGGAACTTGTATTTCTACAACAGCTGGAGGGCCACAGTTGCCTACCCCTGGTCTAGAAGGTAGGATGATGGGACACCAGCCTGTCAGGCTAGGGAGGAGCCCTGGATTCCCTCTTGCTTCAGGAGGCATGGTTATTGGAAGAAGCTCAGCTGCCATTGTTCTGGAACTCAGGGCAATTAAACCTTCAGCACTGGACCCACCTGCTTCAGGGTCTCCCAGCCAGTCTACAGTCTGAAAACACCACATCGTGCTCAAGGAAACAGACCACATCCAGGCTTGGGCAGAATTTCATGTAATGGCCTTGTCCATGGTGCACATTCCAGGCACGGAAAATTGTCAAGTAGACCTTCTCAGCCATCAATGTCTGAACCAGAGAATGGTCTGTCCACCTGAAGTGTTTCAGGCACCAAGCGGGTTGCCTCTAGAAATACCAACTAGAGAGGAATACCTGATAGAAAAAAAGCCACAAATATGTAAGCTTCTTGGGTAGGCTTCGATTTCAGAGACAGAAGAAGCAGGTTTTATTTTTTTAATAATACACGGCTCAAAAAAAATGACAGGAAGACTCTGAGAACCCATCAGATCCCAATGGGGAGGAATCTCCTGCTGGATCTCTATCCTGACATGGACGGGGGATGGGTGAGGAACGTAAGGATGCCCCATCATTGGATGGAAATGATCGACCTACAGGAGGACTGAATTCAAAGACACCCCGAGAATCAAAGTGAAGAAATGATGCAGCAG